TATATATTAATTGGAACCTGTTTCTCTGCGTGCCTGGCCTAAGGCCATGAAAGGCACCATTGCAGGATACCAAAATTTACAATACCAAAAGCATTCCCTCCTTTTCTCTCCTCTCCCCCCCCCTTTTGTAAAGTTACAACATCACACAAAGTTGTCCTGGAGAAACCCAGCGAAAGAAACGAGAGACAGCACAACACAAAACAATCATTCTGACTTTAAGATTCAGAGGTTTGTTTTAGTAATAATTTGGAACACAAGCAAACACCCCAACATCGCTTACCTTAGCGACCCATTGTAATGAGGTCCGGTGACTTAGCAGTTCCAATAAGGACAGCTATAGGCCAGTGGCGATCATTTTTTTTGCGACCTTTGGACAAGCAAAGCCAGATTTCCTTAGCAACCGTGTTGCTAACTTAACAGCTGCGGTGATTCACGTAACAACTGTGGCGAGAAACATCATAAAGCCGGGCGAAACTCACTCGTCTCGCTTAGCAACACGGAATGTTGGGCTCAGTTGTGGTCATAAGCCGAGGACTGCCTGTATAGCTAAAAGCCCCTTCAACGCTGCACAAATCAAAGCAGAAATGGAGAAAGATCCAGCCCAGGGGTAGGCAACCATGGCCCCTTCATGACTTGTGGACTTCAACTCCCAGAATTCCTGAGCCAGCATGGGGGAACTATGGCCCCTTCATGACTCGTGGACTTTAACTCCCAGAATTCCTGAGCCAGCATGGGGAATTATGGCCCCTTTATGACTAGTGGACTTCAACTCCCAGAATTCCTGAGCCAGCATGGGGAACTATGGCCCCCTTTATGACTGGTGGACTTCAACTCCCAGAATTCCTGAGCCAGCATGGGGAACTATGGCCCCCTTTATGACTGGTGGACTTCAACTCCCAGAATTCCTGAGCCAGCATGGGGGAACTATGGCCCCCTTTATGACTGATGGACTTCAACTCCCAGAATTCCTGAGCCAGCCTGGCTCAGCATGGAAACCTCTCCCTTTCCCCTCAGCATGGCTGGCTCAGGAATTCTGGGAATTGAAGTCCATGAGTCATAAAAGAGCCAAGGTTGCCTACCCCTGATCCAGCCATTCTTGGTAGCCGGGGGCTAATTGTGGTGGGTCTGCCACCCACCTCTTAACTTCCACACGGCAAATTCAACATGATGTCATTCTTACCTGAAATAATTGTGTGCCTCCAGACTTCCGGGAGGAAATGGCCGTGCTTTTCTGGCCTGGGCGGGTGGGTGTGCGATCTTTTGAACATGAAACACTCCGGAGAGAAACGGCTCAGGACCGGCTCTTATCAGTGGTTCCCTTTTGGGTGGAGGCCGGCTTAAGTTTCCACTCACATCACTTTCCAAGAAAGACGTCGGTCCCCTCCAGCACCCTCCCAAATTGATTTTGAAAATAATTTGCCTTAAAAAAAAAAAAAAAGGATTCCCTGGATGTTGTTGTGCTCACCATTAAATGCAAACAAACAAACAAACAAATTCTAGGTAAACTCAGAATGGCTGCATTCGCAAAATGTTTGATTCCTGATAGGTTCTTGTTTCCAGCTTTCAGACAGGATTTTGAGCAATGATTAAAATTCCTACAAGATAAACTGCGTAAAAGTTAACCAAGCATAACATAACTAAGATATAACTCTCTCTCTCTCTCTCTCTCTCTATCTATCTATCTATCTATCTCTTTCTTTCTCTTTCTTTCTCTCTCTCTCTCTTTTCTCTCCCTCTTTCTCACTCTCTCTCTCTCTTTATACCTCTTTCTTTCTCACACTCTCTTTTTTTCTCTCTCTTATTTTTCTCTCTCACACTCTTTTTCTCTCTCTTTCTCTTTATATATATCTCTCTTTCTCTCTTTCTCACTCTTTCTCTCTCTCTCTCTCTCTCTATATATATATATCTCTTTCCTCTCTCTTCTCTCTCTATCTCTTTCTCTCTTTATCTCTTTTTTCTCTCTTTCTCTTTCTCTCTTTTCTCTTCTTTCTCTTTCTCTCTTGCTCTCTCTCTCTTTCTCTCTCTCTCTCTCACTCTCTCTTTCTCTCTCTCTCTCTCTCTCTCTCTCTCTCTCTCTCTCTCTCAGTGGGGTGGTAGTAGCAAACATTTGGGCTAAAGTGTGCTCCTTGAATACAGAATAATATAGTTGGAAGGGACCTTGGAGGTCATTTAGACCAACCCACTGCTCAAGCAGGAAACCCTATACCATTTCGGACAAATGACTGTCCGGCCTCTTCTTAAAAACCTCCAGTGTTGGAGCATTCACCGCTTCTGGAGGCAGGTTGTTCCACTGGTTAATTGTTCTAACAGTTCTGACTGTAAGGAAATTTCTCCTTAATTCTACCTTGCTTCTCTCCTTGATTAGTTTCCATCCGTTGTTTCTTGTCCTGCCTTCGGGCGCTTTGGAGAATAACTTGACTCCCTCTTCTTTGGGGCAGCCCCTGAGATACTGGAACGCTGCTATCCTGTTACCCCTCGTCCTTCTCTTCATTAAACTAGAAATCCCCAATTCCAGCAACCGTTCCTTATATATTTTAGCCTTCAGTCCCCTGATCATCCTTGTTGCTCTTCTCTGGACTCTTTCCAGTCTCAACATCTTTTTTACATCGCGGTGACCAAAACTGGTTGCAGTATTCTAGGTGTGGCCTTACTAAGGCTTTATAGAGTGGTATTAGTAACTCACGCCATCCTGATTGAATCCCTCTGTTAATGCAGCTTAGGATTGCATTGGCTGTTTTGGCTGCCGCCGCACACAACCAGCTCGTATTTTAAATTCTTGGCCCTTTAAGCACCAAGTTTCCCAGCTCCTCTCTGACCCTCCAAAAGCAGTCCCACAGGGGCTTTTCAAAAGGGAAGTGGACTTCCTCGGTTTCAAACCTTTCCCTGCTCGCCCAAGAAGCTTCTTCCAGTTCTGACTGAATGCTGGGGGAAATCACTTAATTTTTGAAAAGCCCCTTTGGGTCAACCACGAGGTGAGAATCTCAGCGGACACCCTTCAAAGTAGCCTCTGGAATTGTTTCAAACAGAAGCCGTGGGTAGCTCCTAACTTTCTGTTGTGAACTCCAAGCAACCTCAAGCAGTGTGTGTGTGTGTGTGTGTGTGTGTGTGTGTGTGTGTGTGTGTGTGTGTGTGTGAGTGAAATGACAGAATGTGGGAGATGTTTTGATGTTTCAGTGGGAGGGTTAATGAAATGAAGGTGGGGACCAAAGTCTCAGGAGAACGGTGGGAGGTGGTCCTGTTTGATGGGTACCCTCCAAATGAAGGCGGGGGAGCAGATGGAGGAGGCCACGAAGGGGAGGGGAAAATGCCAGGGAAGGGGTGTGTGGGTGTGTGGGTGTGTGGGTGGGTATGTGTGCAATGAAATTGTGAAGGGCTTTGAAGGACACAGGCGAGGAGCGTTCTGCACCTTCCTTAATAAACATCGGAAAGTCCCGGAAGATCAGACTAAAGCAACGGTAGGCTATTATTTTGGAGAAGCCAGAACGACAAAAACACAACTTTTCGAGCGTTTTGCCTTTTGCTGCTTTCCTTTGCAATCCCGTTCTTGCGCTGGAGAAATTGCATGCCAAGAGAACAAATTAATATTAATTTTCCTCCGCAGTTCTTTTATTTATTTATTTATTTATTTATTTATTTGGCATCGGGCGCATTCTGGGTGCCAAAACGCCGGAGGCCTCGTTCCCAAGAACAGGTGAAACTAAAAGAACGAACTCCGGTTGATTTGATTTAAATTGCATGGCTTGCAGCTGCCTTGATTAGAGGTGTTTTTCTTAATGTTTCCCTGCTTTCATCTTAAATATGAGGATTTAATATCAATGGCTGGAGGGAGACCAGGAACCACAGTCATGGGCTTGGGCAGCTGGGTGTGATGCTGGGCTTCAGGCTGTGCTGAATAGAATGGAATAGAATAGAATAGAATAGAAATTGGAATATAGAGTAGAGTAGAGTAGAGTAGAGTAGAGTAGAATAGAATAGAATAGAATAGAATAGAATAGAATAGAATAGAATAGAATAGAAAACATGGAATGGAGCTGGAATAGAATGGAATGGAATGGAATAGAATAGAAATTGGAATATGGAATAGAATAGAATAGAATAGAATAGAATAGAATAGAATAGAATAGAATAGAATATGGAATGGAATGGAATGGAATGGAATGGAATGGAATGGAGTAGAGTAGAGTAGAGTAGAGTATATGATATGGAATGGAATAGAATAGAATAGAATAGAATATGGCATAGAATAGAATATGGCATGGAATAGAATAGAATAGAATAGAATAGAATAGAATAGAATAGAGCAGAGCTGGAAGGGACCTTGGAGGTCTTCTAGTCCAGCCCCCTGCTCAAGCAGGAGAACCTATACCATCTCAGACAGGTGATTGTCTAGTCTCTTCTTGAAAACCTCCAGTGATGGAGCGCCCACAATTTCTGGAGGCAGGCTGTTCCATTGGTTGATTGTCCTCACTGTCAGGAAGTTTCTCCTTAATTCCAGGTTGCTTCTGTCTTTGGTCAGTTTCCAACCATTGTTTCTCGTCTTGCCCTCTGGTGCTTTGGAAAATAGTTTGACCCTTTCCTCTCCTTTGTGGCAGCCCCTCAAATACTGGAACGCTGCTATCATGTCTCCCCTATTCCTTCCTTTCTTTAGACTGGCCAAACCCAAGTCCCGCAGCCGTTCTTCGTATGTTTTAGTCTAGCAAAGCAGTAGCTTTTTCTGGCTGAAAGTAATAGCAGTAGCAATAGCACTTAGACTTATATACTGCTTCCGAGTGTTTTACAACCCTCTCTAAGCAGTCAGCCTATGGCCCCCCAAAATCTGGGTCCTTACTTTGCCGACCTCGGAAGGACGGAAGGCCGAATCAATCCTGAGCCGGTCAGGATCGAACTGCCGGCCGTCGGCAGAGTCTGCCTGCAATACCGCATTCAACCACTGGTAAAGTCAGTAAACTCGACTTACGTCTTATGTTTGCGTCTCTCTTTCTAGGGCTCCGCAGGAGAATATGGCCAATGGCGTTGAGGAACTCATCGGGATCCCCTTCCCAAACCACAGCAGCGAAGTCCTCTGCGGGCTCAACAAGCAGCGGAACGATGGCCTTCTGTGCGACGTGATTCTCCTGGTCCAAGACCAGGAGTACCGGACCCACAAGTCCGTGCTGGCTGCCTGTAGCCAGTATTTTAAGAAACTCTTCACCGCCGGCACGTTGGCAGACCAGCCCTACATCTACGAGATCGACTTCGTGACGCCCGAAGCCCTTTCCGCCATCCTCGAGTTCGCCTACACCTCCACCCTGACCATCACGGCGGCCAACGTCAAGCACATCCTCAACGCGGCCAAGATGCTGGAGATCCAGTGCGTGATTAACGTCTGCCTCGAAATCATGCAGCCCGGGGAAGGGGCGGGAGGCGAGAAGGAGGAGGAGGAGGAAGAGGAAGAAGAAGAGGAAGAGGAGGAGGAAGAGGAGGAGGAGGAGGTGGAGGAAGGAGCGGGCGACTTCGCCAAACGGAATCGATCCGGTGCTCAAGATCTCAGCTGCCGCCAAAGTCCATCCAAGCCGGATCTTCCTGAAGAAGTCTTCCAGGAGGCCACCAATGTCTTCTCCACCCGTCTTCCATCCAGCAGCTCCAATGGCCCACTGGGCCTTCTCCGAGACTTCTCCATCGAGTCCCTCTTGAGGGAGAACCTGTACCCCAAAGTGACCCTTCCAGAACGCAGGCCGGTCCTGTCTCCCTTCATGCCTGACCTCTTCCCCCATCTGTGGAACGGGGACTTTGGCCCCTTCGCCCCAGTAGAGGAGCATCAGGTGGACAACACCCCCTTGGACTTGGTGATCAGAAAGCAGAAGATCAAGGAGGAGCAGAAGGAGGAGCCCCTGCCCAGCCCCTTCCCCAACAGCCTCTTCAAGGAGGTCTTTGCCAACACGGCGGCCGCCGCCGCCCCCCCCTTGGGCCACGTGAAGGCCGAGAGCGACTACAGCGCCTACCTGAACTTCCTGAGCTCCGCCCACTTCGGCCGGGTCTTTCCTGGCTGGCCCGAAGAAAGGAAGATCAAGCCCAAAGCGTCCCAGCAGTGCCCCATCTGCAACAAAATCATCATGGGGGCCGGGAAGCTCCCACGGCACATGAGGACCCACACGGGGGAGAAGCCCTACATGTGTAATATCTGTGAAGTCCGGTTCACCAGGTCGGCATACTTTCAAAATTAGGGTGAACGTGCTGGGATGGAGGGAGGGAAGGAGGGAGGGATGGATT